CGGGGTTCGGAGAGTCATTCAACCGAAGCTACCAGCTCTTGGTGCGTTGAGCTGACCTAGGGAAGAACCAGATCTTTGCTAGACATGTCGCGCATGGGATTGTGATCTACCTACGCTTCTGGCTTACTAGTTAGCATGCTCTATCTACAAGGAACAATGGCCATGGAAGTCGATCAGCGAAGCGATAATGGTCCTCGACGTCGAGGTCTACGGGAGGAGCGAAAAACCAGATATGTCGCTCAGTGCCTAGTTTACTGTCTTATGTCTCGGGAGAGACGAGATTTGCAGATATGATATCATATATCATACCCATTGTTGCTGCCAATCAACCCAGTGGGTTGACGTGCCGAAATCGAGATTACCTTCGAGTAGTGCGGCGTCAACCGCCCCCAGGTCGAATCCCGGGTCGAAATGTCCAAATACGTCGAGATCAGGGATGGTATCAAGTAACATACACTCATTGTTACCTTCAGTCACATTCTGTGCGAAGTCTGAGACTCGGATCTCTTCGGGCTGCTCCTGAGGTCGTTCTCGCTGTGGAACACTTTCGACTTTTTTGGGCAGATCAGTGAGTCCGTTCTCCTGAGCGAGCGATGCGACCGTTTTGTCCATCTCATTAAGGACTTGTTCCGCCATGGCCACAATGGTCTTGGATTTCCAAAACATGTCGTCCATTGATTTCAAGAGCATTGTATTCTTACGAAATGCCCGCTTGCCGCGGTTTCTAAACATGGGAACTTTGCTGTGTCGCATCTTCCGATACGAGACGCTAAGAGACAGTGACAATCCGTACGGTATGAACGGCATATAAGAAAGCTGGCCGGCAAACTCCTCGCCGATAATGAAGGTAATGCGGTCTGCCGAAACTGCAACTCTTAGTCAGTAATTGCCGCGACATGTGTGGTCTGTGAGAGAGGGTAAGAAAACGCATCCACATTCCGAATCTCAGTCCCATTCTGAATCTCAGTCCCATTCTCAGTCCAATTTTCAGTCCACTTCACTCCCGAAGGGCTGTAAGAGGGAATGAATAGCTTACAAGATCTTCGACAGCTGTTCGCAGGGTTCGGTATGGCTGATGACGTGACGTCACCTGGAGACTGGCTTGACAAAACAGCCACTGAGTGGTAGAATATTTCTAGAGAGGCTTGATAAAATTTCAGCATCATCATCCTGCTGTAGTTCATTACATATTTTGTATATATCTTCCATGTATCACTTACCGAGACAAGAATTCGATAGCCTCGATGCCCCCGTATCTAGAACAAGCTGCTCGAATATGGGCAGCTGGATTATTGTAGGCGTGTTTTGCCGGTTTCCAGGACGATACAAATTAATCACAGAATCAAGCAGATTAACTATCACGAGAAGGAGGCGGAAGGCAGGCGCCTGTGCTCGAATGCAATCGTCCAGGTCCCAGCCAACGTCCCTTTCGTGTATATTGCAAGCTCGTCCGTAGAAGGCGCTCGTGATACGATCAAGTGCCCAGAGACAGCAAAATATGGTCCGAATCATGTCTCGTTTCTGATGGCCGCGGTCCACGGCCATATGAACTCCAAGAGTGTGCATCTGATGGACAGCGCGACTGTTGAGAAGGGCTGGAATGTCTGCTTCTTCGACATTTGTGGGCTGCGTATATAAGGACAAAGCAGCAGACAAACGCGTAAGCCATACCCTGTCCGTAATAATTCCAGCATCTAACGTCGTTAAAACGGAATTAGACAGACATGCACAGAACTCTTGGCGGGACAACAGAGGGCCATTGGGGCTCACACGCAGGTGTTGCGTGGCTTCCGGGTCGGCGGCGGCTGCAAGACTCACGACTTGCTGAACCAAGATCTCCGTGGGCTCGTCAGGGGGGTTGAAGAGGGATGGATCTTCGAGTATGGGAAATATTGGGTTCATCTTCTCGAAGTAAATGCGTTTTAGGACATCATAATCGGGTGCCGGAGGGCGGCATGGGAGACAGTGGTTCCACAAATAAGATCTTAACATGTCTTGGACCGCTTGCCTTGAGGACGACTGCACATTTGGGATAGTTAGGCTCCGATTGTTCGGGCGAGGTGGCATTGGAGCTTGCCAGACGCCTAGGCCACCGGGTGCCGAGACATCACGCCGAGAACATAGATTTGTAGCCTCCATTAGGATAGCCTCTGGATTCAGGTCGCCCAAGAATGTCGAAGAATGGGAGTCCCCGCGCTTGTCCCCATGGTGAATGGCTGTCTGCGTGTCCCCAGTGGAGGATAGAGTTGGCGTTGAGACCTGGGTTCGGCTGCCCTGCGTATTAGGTGACGGCTGCGACCTCTCTGTACCCGAATACTTATCAGGCGATCCATCGATACTTGATTCACTGTTCAGCTTCGACTCGGTGTGCACGCAACGCTTTTTCCGGCGACGACATTTATCGCAGGCCTGGGCGACTTGTTTCCGTTTGAGCGGCAAGCCTGTTTTATCCGACTCCACGAATTTGACCATGGCTTGGCAGCGACGGATTACCGAGTGCGTATGAGGTCAAGCGGTATCAACTAAATTGGTCATCTCCGCTGTTCATTGACTGACTACGGAATAGTTAGAAGGCGACTGCAAATGATTTGGGTTTTTGGTAAACAAAACACGCCCTGTGTTGTTTGTTGCCTTCCTAGCTTCTCGTGGTTATTAACAGCGGATTCGGCCCTCTCCAGCTCCACATGGCGGAGCTGCCAAAGACGGTTAGTCCGCCAATCGAACTTCGCTTCTTCGTATGAATTACATAAGCTTCTCCTTATCGAATGTATTAGGTAGACACAGTCGACATCGAACTTTAAACAATGTTATTTTCCGACATTATGCTAACGATGATGATCTGTACACTAAAAATTATGTGCACCCTCTCTCATCTTTCCCCCGCTTGAATGATCATAGTGCTGTTGCTCATATCCAGTCAGCTTTCACTTAAGGTCATACTTATGGCTGTGCGCTGTTGTACGGGTGATACAAATCATGTCGCCAGCCATTGCTCTACGCGGATCTCCCGCCCCCATTCGAATTCCGACGTCCTGATGTGTATATATATAGGTGTATATTAAACCTTCTAATATTGCAGCATTGAGTGCCTACCTAATGATGATAAGAGGAACCCAAATCTAACAAAGAAACTTCTACTCACTGGGAATTACAATTCAAGCCAAAATGAATATCCTGGTAACGAGGTCATCTTCAAGGCTGGTATCCGCTAACACCGCCTTGCTTTGTAAGAAAACCGCCGCTAGAGCATCGCCGGGACGTCTTACGTCTTATTTCACCATGCCTCAAGCAAAACGGGAAGGCAATATCTCAGATTCTTTTGTGTCTTTGTCAGGCGGAAATCCGCCACCACTCCCAGATCGTTTCCTGCATCTCAAGAAGTCTTTGGTAGCCGGCCACGAAGATCGCGTCATAGCAAGCTGGCGGAGACTACTATCTCGGCTTAAAGAGGAGAACGAAATCATTGTAAAAGAGGGAACCAATGTTATACCGAACCTAGAGTTCGAGAATCTCGATCAAGACCTCGTAAGATGGCGTTCTGAGATCAAGAAGAGGGGCGCTGCTGTTATTAGGGGTGTCATACCTGAAGAAGAGGCCCGCTCGTACAAGATTGACCTTGAGGAATATGTGAGACAGAACCCCTCAACAAGAGGTAAGTCATACTACATACACGCTCTTTTCAATGAGTCTTCTGATTGGCTGTGCAGCTTTTCCGCCGAAGAACCCCCAAGTATATGAGTTATATTGGTCCAGTCCCCAGATTCGCGCACGGGCACACCCGAACCTTTTGAAGGTTCAATTGAAGCTCATGAATCTCTGGCGTTCGCCAGATCCTGAAAGCGCGATCTCGCTATCGCAGAGTCTGGCTTACGCCGATCGCCTGCGCATCAGACAGCCTGGAGATGCGACGTTTGCCCTAGGTCCACATGTGGATGGGGGCAGCGTGGAACGCTGGGAAACAAGTGGCTATGGGGTCGGTGGTGTCTACAACAAGATTTTCGACGGCCTGTGGGAGGAGTATGACCCGTGGAACGCCAGCAACAGAGTCTTCGCCGTCATGGACAACTACAATGGGCTTGGGGCCTGCTCGATGTTCCGGATGTTTCAGGGATGGCTGAGCATGAGTTACACCAAAGCTTTCGAAGGTACCTTGCTCGTGAACCCGCTGCTTCAACTCGGAACCGCATACTATCTCTTGCGGCCATTTTTCCGGCCTGTTCGGGATGCCGGTGATATTGCCGCTGGTGAGTTCCTTGCAGCGGACAACTGGGTATTCGCCGGTTCTGAGATGACGAGCGAGTTGCAAGGAGCGACACCAGGTCATGGACAAGAACTAAGTGCAGACCTCCACCCCCATCTTGAGCTTAACAGCAGTATGATCCATATGCCTCAAGTTACACCGGGGGATTTCGTAGCCTGGCATTGTGATAGTAAGTCAATATCCCCCCCCGGCGCGGATGATATGGCATTAAAAGATACCTTATCTCAGCAATCCATGCCGTTGACAAAATCCATGAGGGCACGTCGGATTCGAGCGTGCTTTATATACCAATTTGCCCCGTGACTGAAAAGAATGCGCAGTATTTACTACGACAGAGAACCGCATTCCTGGACGGAACACCTGGACCGGACTTTCCGGGGGGTCAAGGCGAATCACAGCATCTCAATCGGCCTACGGTATCTTACCTGCGGGCGCATGCTAGCTTGGATGGTTTGCGCGCTTTTGGGTTTGAGAAACTTGTTGAGAGGGATCTCGATAGTGTCGGTGCTCGAGAAGTGATAAAGAAGGCAAATGGGATATTGGGACTCTAAAAACGTCAGTAATTATTGCGGAGACTTTGTCGAATACATAATATTTTGAGGGGGATATGCTGAACCAAGAACCGTACCTATGCTATTTGAGTAAGAGTGTCAAATAAAATAGGTGCGAAAGAAAAAAAAACAAGAGAAAAAAAGAAGCATTGCATTCAAGCTAATGGGCATAGTTTCTGCGAAACGTCCTCTCGATCGGGGAATCGAACCCCGGCCACCTGCGATTTACCAGATCCAATTTTCCGGATGAGTTCCAGTTCCAATAGATTGATGACAAGCAGGTATCCTGACCACTAGACCAATCGAGATACGATAGGAGTCCACTTCTCTGTGATCAATGATAGGTAGAGCGGGGTGCGGGTCTGTAAGTACAGTCTGCCTCTGATCTTCCTAGGTACCTAGGTAGCTAATATCTACCTAGTCCGTACGGAATACGGAATACGGAATACGGAACCGTACCTACCTGTAATTCTACAATACGCAGTACGTACTTACGGATCCGTATACTGTGTACCTAACCTATACGGACGTACCTACATACTGTAGGTAGTAGTCCGTACGGACGCGGGTATAACGAAAATGATAGTATAAGTAAGGATATCTTGCAAAATATGTACGAATTATAAATATTTTGCCTTTGTAAAAGCGCCGTGGTGCGGTTTCATTTTGGGGCAATGTGAGTAGGCAAGTGAACACCGCATCCTTCATGTGCTGCCGTAGCCTGGTCTGATCCAACCAAGATGAATTCTCACTTTGATTGACGAATGGTGATTATCGGCCATGGATATCCTCATGGTACCGAACGTACGAGTTGCAACATCTTGTCCACTCCAATTGCTGTTGGTAGCATCGATAATATGACCATTCGGGCGTGAGATTGCTACGTACATACAAGCAATTAGAAAAATTGCGTCTCGCACTGCGTGAATAAGATTGACTCCGAAGTTTTCAACGAGACTGTGACACTACCAAGCTTAAATCAGAATGGAGTGGCGAAAACCCTGGCCTTGCCCTTAAGCGTATGCAATACTAAGATGATAATTGTCTTGTCTATGAGTACGGGACGACACATCATTAGCTCACTAGCTTGACCATCGTCGACTGACAGTCGCGGATCTATGAGACTCGCTTCAGTCGCGACATGGATGATAGGACAAGCTGGCCGGAGAACTAGGCGAGGAGAATCAAAAGGTGCAGCTTACGTCGTCGCACGGTGCACAGTTGATCGTCTGGGAAATGTGAGCTAAGATGGCCGTGAGGTAATTCATGGGATAATACACTATATCTTCGCCAATCGAAATAAATCTTGTTTATATCCTCATGGCGCCATCAGAATTCCTATCCGGTTTCCTGTGGTAGACCAGAATCATCTTTATCCTCATTGCACGAGGGCGGCGAATCAACCGGACGCGCGGTGGTGACACAGCACGGATTGTATGTGGAAAGCAAGGAATGAGACGGACGAGCAACGTCCTTGTACCTGGAAACACAGGCAAATAAGGCGGGTGCTCAGTTTGTTCTGTTTTTCTCATTTGGGCAACGTAGCAACCTCAGTCAGCATGCCATACGACCTTCCCTCCCCAAAACTACCAGCTTAACACATGCCAGATCAAACCAGATCAAACCAGATCAGGCACCACTGCCCTAACAATGGTTAGATATAAACGGCATCGGTGGCGCGTCTGGTTCCGTTGGCATTAACATTAGACTTTTCCTGTAGTAAGAGTCTATACGCGAGCGTATTATGTCGGAGCAAAATCGCAGATATGCATTATAGATGAACGAGACCGTCTCATGATTCGCCATGCGTACCCAGAACAAAACACCGTCGGTCGGGCTCCAAGTCCTCTATGAGCCGGAACAAAATGACAGCACGCTTATTGAGTAGGTATCGTTTACTAGGCTACAATCTCAAGGTGGCACGTTCTCATATAATACCTTCTAATAGCGTGGTCCTCGTCCATGGATTTGGAGGACATCCTATGAGAAGCTGGCAGTACGATGACCAGCCGGCGTATAATCGAACGAAAGCCGGTACCCACATCCGTGACGGACCATTGAAGCTTTTACTAAAAAAAGCGACGTCTTCCGATTACTTGCGATGGTCGCGATCGAGTGCTCCCCCTCCGCTCCTTTGGCCTCGGGATCTATTGCCCAGTTCCTGCCCAGAGGCACGTATCATCACTTGGGGATATCGTAGTCTTCACAGTGGGAATATGCCAGTCCCAGTCCAGCCTGATCTGTTTTCCCACGCGGAGGCACTTCTTCGGGACCTGGCATGTCTCCGCCAAAGTACAGGTGCCCAGCGAAGGCCGTTGATATTCATTGCGCATTCTCTAGGAGGGGTCATTGTAAAAGAGGTAGGTTAATGAGGCGAGACTGGACGAAGCCATACTTATAGCTACATAGGCGCTGTACCAGGCCGAGTTCCACAGCGTGAAATGGAACCGTTTCATCCTGAGCTCAATAGCCGCAGTTATATTCTTCGGCTGTCCCCACCGAACCATGGAGCGAGAGCCAGATAGAGATGCGGTGGTTTCTATGGCAGAGGCGACTTTGAGCACCAAGACGGAAAGACCGGTATTGTCAGCTCTATGCGGCGTGAACAATCCCAGATGGGGCGAAGCCCAAAGGTCATTCATTCAGTTGTGGTATCATTTCAACTTTGTTGTGAAGACCTATCAGGAAATACAGGGCGACGCGAACAAGTCTACCGTGGGTGTTTGCTGTTTCATGAATACTGTTGGTAGCGAACTCATGTATCTGCATAGAATAGCAATACTCGGTTGAACGAGCTCGGTAACGCGAAGGAACATGCAGAGACTCTACCTGCGAACCATCGCACGATGTGCCAATTCAAGTCGAACAAAGACGCTGGGTTCCAATCATTGGAGAAGATCCTAGTAGATATCGTGGAGGATGAGAAGGCTAAGGTATCACGACGTTTGTCACTTCTCCATTGAGATATGAGGCTAACAAAGGATGATAGCATCGAGGACTCACCGAACAAGAAAAAAGTAAGTAAGGCAGTTTTTTTTATTGCTGTACATATAGAAACTAACCCGTGAACGTTAGACTACTTGGAGCGATTTATTGGCGCCCAAGAGTCCCAGGAGCCCCCATCAATCATAGCCGAGAGCTCCCTAGAAACATGCGAGGAAATATGGAATACAAGGGAATTTTTAGATTGGTATTGTCGTCGAGAGGGTAGAAATAAGAGCTTACTCTGGCTGACAGGTGAATCGGGCTCGGGAAAGTCAACTCAACTGCGACAGCTTCGTTGCCGAATTGAAAAGCAATGGGAGCCTGGCACAGCATCGATTATATACTGCACAGCCGAGAGTCAAAATCTTGACCGTGCCTTCATGTCGATGACGAAGCTAGGCATCATGCGAGCTGCCACGACCATCCGTTCCATTCTGTCTCAGCTTTTCGCGCAAGACTTGAATCTTCGTCGAAGTCTCTCTTTGTGTGAGGGCCGCATCGACAATGTGGATGTGATCCGGTTTTTCCTCGATGACTATCTTACGAACAAGGCCCGGATGCTAACAAGAAGAACATTTATCCTAGTCGATGCGGAAAACACTGGCGACGATGGGTACATCCATGACCTCTTGTACATTTTATGCCAAATGGCTCGAAACTCGGATTTCAGTGTGTGCCTGGCGAGCCGACCGGTTACTGGCCGCACTCCCGTTGATTCAGTCCAACTAGAGCTTCACCAATACAATTTGGAACATATAGTAGGTTTAGTACAGTCCCGTCTGAGGGCGACCTGGGAAGAGCGCTTCGTTGCGGTGAGGAAGGTTGCCGAGAAAGCCCGAGGCAAATTTCTATGGGCTCAGCTCGCAACGAATCTACTAAATAAGGTCATCGACGGCGGCGGGGGCCAAGATCTTGTTGACCAGGTGCTAGGAGAGCTTCCCGTAGATTTATATGGGCTATACGAATGGATCCTGGGAACACTCTCGCCAAAAGAAAAGGCCGAAACTACGGTTATCATGCGATGGGTCATGTTGTCGGCAGAACCTATGATGTTGAACGACTTGTGCATGGCGGTTCGGTTGGGCCGTACGCATTTTCTGGTTTGCTCTGATCCAATCACTGCATTGGATGTGGGATCGCCTTGGTCAATGCAAGATTTGCAAAGGACGGGCAAGCACTTCGATAGTCCGTCACAGTTCTACGAGTGGCTCCGTGCCCGGACATGTGGTCTCTTGGAAACTCGGGCGGCAGACTACCGGAGTAAAGCGCAATCGCTCGGATTTCAGCACGTTCACCCCATACACCCATCTATCAAATCCTTTTTCCTGTCAGGTAGGGGCTTCGCGACGTTAGCAGCAGGACAACTTAAAACCATACCACCGGATCACGAGGCAGTTGACTTCTGTCATTATAGCCTCCTCCGTACGATACTGATGTACCTGAACACGTCCGATCAAATGCCGCTAGTGAGCTGGCACGGTCCGTTGTCGAAAATGTCACCGGCATCGCGGAGCACTATGGCGGAAGAGCGTAGTCTTATCGCATCATCCCACCCATTCTTGCAATACGCGGTCGACAACTTGCTCTATCACCTACTCTCGCCGCAACCGCTACGATATTTTCTGCCCCAGCGAGCGATCTTCAACACGTTCATATCCCATGACTGCCGACTTTGGCGACGCTGGACGGCGCTACTGGGCGAGACAGATGCATTGAAAATCCTAGCAAGGTGCCGCTCGGCTGAAGGGCTTCTGCGACCAGAGTTTGGGACATCGATCCGGTTGGAGCGAATATTTCGGGCGGTGAACAGGATAGCAACGGGCGGTAGTTGGTTCTCTATTCACAAAAGTCCAAGGCTCTCCATACCGATACCTCGGGACGTCGGAGAAAAACAACGTTGCTCGGCAGGAATTGAGTCCGTTCCCAAAACCACCACTGCAGCCGGCACGCACAACTCGACGAGGAACAGAGGGTGTACCGAGAATTTCAAGATGCCATAAGAGTAGGTAGGAGGTGGTAGGGATAGGAACGAGGTAGGAAATAGAGGTGGTTTGGTTGAGTTGCTTAAGGAATCTCACAAGTGGAATACCTACCTGAATATTGGCAAGTATGGACGGGGGAGGTATGTCCGTATGTACCTATACGTAGGTAGGTAGGTAGTGTACACTACGGTTGGGTACGGACGTACTGTACACTACTACTACCTAGGTAGGTACTACTGGTACCTGCTTATAATTGAGGTAGGTAATACTACCTACATATACCTTAAGATAAGGTTAAAGGTACTTACCTAGAGGCGATTTGCATATAGGTACGGAGTACG